TTTGCAACGCACCTTCACTTCGGAAGCGATTTCAAAGTGGAAGAACTTGAACATGAATCCCCAACCTCACTCAGGCCATTAACCATGTCGCTTTGCACCCCACGACTCCTCAAGGCCCCCAAGCTCTACATCTTGGGACCACTAGCTCTGCACAGGCACACGCACAAATAAGTAACAAATACATGAGCTCTACGCCGAAGTCTCACTGCCCGATCTCCCCCAATACACAACGGTAACAGGACCGCAGGAACTAACCGGCCGCAAAGAAAATGAAAGCGGGCGACTCCAGAAAGTCTACCATCGAGCAGTGGCGAGAGTCTGAAATGAACCTAAAAGCCGGCCCCGGGCCGGGTGACGGGAGAAGCGAGTCCGGATGCGGGTCGCCGGGAGGTCGGCGCCGAGGCCCCGAGGCAGCTGACGCCACCCGAACCCCCGCTTCCCAGCCCGCCCGAGGGGGCGAGACCAATTGACACCGGGTTCCGGCCCCGTGGAATCTCCGCCCGCTCCCCGAGGGGCACGGCCCCCACCCCACGCCCGGGCGCCGGGCCCAGCGGGCGGGAAGGATATTCTCGGCGCGGAGCCGCTCGATCGTTTCCTCGCTCTGCCGGAGCCGCTCCCGCGGCCCCGCGTCGCCAACCCCGTTCTCGTCCTCCTCGTCGCCGTCGCCGTCCTTGAAGCGCGTGTGAACGGGCTTTGGGAGCGACTCCTCTGGGTGGTCAAACGCCTCGAACAGCTCCAAATCCCCAAAATCCACCTCTGCCGCCATTTTGGGCTGTGGGAGAGATTCGAGAAGCTGGACACCCCGGCCGGGGTCAAAGGTCGTAGGGCGGCACCTCTCTCGAGGGCGCTAAGCCACCCAGTAGGGTTTTCTTTAAACGTAGGCCCCGGAAGCGGCACAAGGGGCGGGCCAGTCCCGAGAGACTGCAACTACCAAAATGCAATGGCGTCCCTCATACCCACTTCCGAGGTTGCTGGAGAGCATGGCATGCTGGGACATGTAGTTTCTAACTGACTGTTAACTCATTGTTTGCATTGCATACTGGGATTGTTCCTTATTAAACGCTAACAAAGCTAGAGTAAATCAGAATGTGTTGAAACAATATGGGTTGTCCTCGTTATGCATCTAAGGCTGAAAAGTCGGAACACATTCTGGTGTGCATGCCAAACAACTATGGAACTCCAGTTTTGCCACGGACTATCTTTGTAATCTTGGATAGTCATTTCAGCTTATTGGGCTTGTTTTACTTTTTCATTAAGAACTAGCTGGATAGTCCCGGCCAGGTGGGTAGGTTGGTTGGAGCCTGGTTCATTACCTAAGTTGTGGGGTCTATCCCTGGTCAGGGTGTAGATGGGAAGCAACCGATCGATATTTCTCACATCAATGTCTTTCTCTTTGTCTCCCTTCCTCTCTAAAATCAAACTTATCCTCAGGTGAGGATAAAATAAACTAGCTAAACTATTTTAGATGTCTTGTGCTCAAAAACGAGATCACATACTAAACCTGACAAGCTCAGGGGAGGCTTGGGAGACCTAAACTACATAGAATGATCTGAAATTAAAACTTAAAAAGACCCAGGGATTGAAGATATTTTCCCCCATTGATTTTTATGAGTGGAAGGAGGGAGGGAGAGAGACAGAGAGAAAAGGGGGGGGGGGGGGGTGAGGAAGAGAGAAATGTCAATGTGTTAGACATCCGTTGATTGCTTCCCAAAGCACCCAGCCAGGGCTGGGGATTGAATCAGCAACCAAGGTATGTGCCCTTGACGGGGAAACTTAACCCATGAACCTTCCACTGAGCCAAACCAGCCAGGGCTGAAATTAAAACTTCCTAAAGGGAATTTACGACATGTAGTCATGTCCTGGGCTGGTATCATTTCTTTTTCTTTTTTTAAAATATATTTTATTGATTTTTTACAGAGAGGAAGGGAGATAGAGAGCTAGAAACATCGATGAGAGAGAAACATCGATCAGCTGCCTCCTGCACATCTCCTACTGGGGATGTGCCCACAACCCAGGTACATGCCCTTGACCGGAATCGAACCTGGGACCCTTCAGTCCGCAGGCCAACGCTCTATCCACTGAGCCAAACCGGTTTCGGCTGGTATCATTTCTTGACAAAGGTCAATCTTTACCTTAACAGTGCCTGTCTTTTCTTTTGGATAATGTACCTTTGGAATGTCAGGGTAATTTTTTTCTAAATCCCTCAGGGCACCATCTCCCAGGAGACCAGGGTTCCTCATTGTTATTGTTGTTAATTATCCTATACCCACTTAAGCAAAAGATGTCTCAATTCAAGACCTATAGTCAAGGCATATATAAGCAGCAACCAATGAATGCGTAAACACAGGAACAACAAATCAATGTTTCTCTTTCTGCTCTCTAAAATCAGTAAGAAGTTTTATCGCAGCTGGTGTGGCTCAGCAGTTGAGCATCAACTCATGAACCAAGAGGTTGCAGGTTGGATTCCCAATTAGGACATGGGTCAGGGCACATGCTGGGTTTCTGGCTCGATCCCAGTAGGGGGCAGCCAATCACTGTTCCTCGCATCCATCTTTCTCTCTATCCCTCTCCCTTCCTCTAAAATAAAAAACTTTTAAAATTACATTTAAGTATATAAATCTTTTGGCCTATCAAACTCTTGATTAACCAGGAATGATATATAAAACAACTTATTTCCATCTCTTCCCAACTACTTCTTAAATGGTATTTAAGTTTTCTAAACTTAAAATAAAATTCACCCATTAAAACCTCATCTTAATTTGCCGTTTTCCTCAACACCTATACACCGCTATGAAATCCTACCCTACCTTCCAAGTTAGCCTCAAACCCACTTGCTCTCACACTGTTCATCATACATTGCGCCTCAGTGTGGTTTAGTTTTACTGCCCTGCTTCCCCCTCAAGTGTCTCCTGGACAGCAACCCTATCCTGTTGCTTACAAGGGTAAAGCCATCATGGAGCACAGGCCTTGAAATGTAAAGCACAGTAACATACAGAAAAGGGGTAGCAAAAGGTTTAATAAAATCAAATCTACCGAGTATGCCTCCCATATACACTTATTTCCAACTGTGTGAAGCAGTTAACTGGCCTCCCAACCATGGACTCCAATAATTGCTTCTTAAAATTTAATTATACAACTTACAATTACTAATCTACCTCCCTCTAGATCTGCAATTGGATATGGTTGCCCATGGCTACATATGGCTGGTCCCAATTAGGATGTTAAGACAAAATACACACTGGATTTAAAACACTGAAGTATGAAAATATGTAAAAATCTTAACTAAAAATACTGATTACCTACTGAATTAGTTTAGATGTTGTAATAGTTTCATTTGTTTAAACTTGGCTACTAATTTTTAAAATGCTGCACTAGATGAGTGCAAGATGGACCATGTCATTCATTAAATGGCAAGCTCCTAAAATGCTGTAGAGCAGCGGTCGCCAACCTTTCGGACCCCACGGACCACCAGTTGGTGACCACTGCTGTAGAGAAATACAGGAAGCAGTCATTTACCATGTGCTTTTATATCCACTATGCCTTAAAGCTTATGAAAATTTTTAATGAAATTAGAGAAGGTATACATAAAACTGAAAAATGTTCCTCTGTGATGCCAAAATAAAAAATCAGTCATTGATTCTGTCACTGAGGCATGAAACCATTTCTCCACAGAACTGTTATACTCTGGGAAAACTAATTTAAACATTTACCCAAAATCCACTAAAAATCTTACAATACAACCACTTGATTTTCCTGTATCACAAAAACATGCCTAACAAAGCAAGTTGATCAGACTTAGTAACTCTGGTTTTTAAACATAAAGGTTTTCCCTAGCTGGTCTTGCCCAGTGGATAGAGCATCAGCCTGTAGACTCAAGAGACCCGGGTTCAATTCTGGTCAAGGACACATGCCTGGGTTGTAGCTTGATCCCCAGTAGAGCACGTGCAGGAGGCAGCCAATCAATAATTCTCATCATTGATACCTCTCTCCCTTCCTCTCTGAAATCAATAAAAATATATTTTAGAAAATAATTAAAGTTTCCATTTTACCACTATTCACAGTATTGTGCTACTACATTGTGGCAATCTTTCCCAAAGGATTTTTCTAGGGAAAGCTAATGAATTACAAGTTCTGTAGTCCCCTCCCATCACCAAATTTTTAGTACTTTACTTTCTACTCCCTTCCTCGCAAAGGGAATACAAAGAACTTGTTATAAGGCACTTTATTAAAATAAAAGTGCTTACATCCCTTTAAAGTATTAATCTATTTCCTGAATAACATACGGAATATTTAACAAATACTATACACCAATTCTGGCCCTTATAATAGTAGGAACAGTATTATTTTAGTAAGTTTACTTGCTCCCAACTTCCTTTTACATTTTTGCTCACTATGGTACTGCCAAAAAAATTAAAAAGAATTTTTAGCCAGTGTTTTCTAATAGAAATTGCAAAATGCTACAGAAACCATAAAATAAATTCAAATAATTCCAGGTAACTGAAATTACCACCAGTTTTGAGAAAACCATTTTTATTTTCATCACCACCCAGCTTATTTGTGCTGGTATGTACCAAATGGCCAGATCTTCTAAAGAACATCTACATAACATTTCTTTCATGTTTCAAGAGATGAAAATAACTGTACAAGGTTAAGTACAAAAGTACACAAGACAGCGGACACGAAAAAATCCATGTATGAGATTTTTATCCCACCTGCAGCTTTTATATATAATTTGAAAGTAGAATTCATGAACTAAAAAATATTGTCCTTCTATAGTCCTGTCAAGTTTAATGGAAGTGGGTTTAACCTAATTACAACACTAACACCAGTATCACTGATCTGATATTTACAAAAAAATCGTTATTTTTCAATAAATTAAAGTCAATGCAACACCCATGCAAGCTAGAATGCTAGCTGTTTGGTGAACAAGGACCTGACATCAGAACCAGAAGTTTAGAAAGTTCCAAACATTAAGCGATCTTTTTCAAACTGCATCCATTCCTCGCATTGATGATGTAAAACCCAATCCCATTCCTCTTTGTGTATGGGTCTGTGACCTTGCCATTTCATACTGAGCATCTAGATTCCTAAATACTTCTTCCTGTTGCTTCAAAGTCTTGTAACTTTCTTCATCAACTGAGCTACATCCAGCTTCATCTTCACTCTAAACAGACAGAAAAGTATTATTAAAATGAATTTAATAGGAATAAAAAGTGCTTCTTTCACTTGACAGTACAGGTAAATTACATTTTTGGGATACATATTTGACTTCAATTACTTAGCTTCATTCATTCATTCATTCATTCATTCAGCACATGTGTTCCATTTAGGTATTAGGATGAAACAAAAATCAACTTTAAGTGGATGGGCATGATGAAGAACGGGCAGCACATGCCAGACAGTGTAAACAGCCAGCTCAGTGCAGCTTAATATCCCTTTAATGAAGAACTAATTTCCTTAATAATGACCAATGTCTGAGCATTGGGGAACTTTCCATGAAATCTAATACTGTACTTGTATTACCCTTAACTCAGCAAAAAATGCTGTAAAATTAATGTGGAGGACATAAACAAACAAGAAAAGTACCCAGAGTTGATACATCACTGAAATAACTTTGAAGGTGAGAATCAATGTTACCCTGAAAATATGTTAGTATGATTTTAATAGAAAGTATACATACTCACCTTAATACCCATTAGTTTCCTAAATTTGACATTTTGGTCCTTGTTTCCAAAATTCAACTTTTCCCATATTTCAGCAGACTGGGATTTGTCCTATTAAGAAATGGTGAACTTTCAGGATATGCAAATTTTAAATACCTTTTACTAGGGTATTAAATCTTTCCATAATATAGTATAAAAGGAACAATAGCATTTATGACATTCTATCAATGGAGTTTATAATTATACTAGAGGCGCGGTGCACAAACTCATGCACCAGTGGGGTCCCTTGGCCTGGCCTGTGACATCGGGCCAAAATCGGCTCTCTGACATCCTCCAAGGGGTCCCAGATTGCGAGAGGGTGCAGGCCAGGCCAGGCCGAGGAACCCCAATGGTACACGTTGGGGCTGGGAAAGGACTGCAGGAGGGCTCCAGGGTGTGCCCGGCCCATCTTGCTCGGTCCTGATTGGCCAGACCCCAGCAGCAAGCTAATCTACTGGTCGGAGTGTCTGCCCC